AGATATGAGATCCATACTTCCTTAGATTTTTATGCAGGCCATTCATTCTCACATAATTCTTTGATGAGAGTGCTTGTTGTAAAATATGTCTTGTGAAATTTACCTCATTGTTTTCAATATGAATTTTCATCCAAATAGTTAGCAATTAAACACATCCAATAAAATGCCTTTCTCTATTTTGACGACAATGGTTTAAAAATCTAATTGTCTCAGCCAAGATCATAGGAATAGGCTTGATTTGATAACCAAATTGATTAAAGAAATCCACCACTACAACATCAATATACCTAATTACTTTTAGAAATACCATTATCTCATATAGAGCCAATGCCATCAGATTCATTCTCCTTTCAATGCCAAAATACTAATATATAAAGTCATAAACAATGGATCAAGAAGTACCAGCACTTTCACCTTTTCCATTTACCTAAGTATCAATAGTTTGGACATCTACAACCATCATTTAAGCAAGCTTTTTTTGGTAACCAGTCTTCTTATTTTTCCCAATATACCTTATCAGGATCACAGAAATCCAAGCGAAGAAAAGTTGAATATTCTTCAATAGTTGGCATCATATCAACCTCATTGAACACAAAATAGCAATATGATGGATCCCAAAACAGTGTTGTTTGGCTCAAATATAAAAACAAAAAATTAGTTCTTTTTTTTCAAATTTGCTTTGTTCTTCCTTTCTCTAAACAAATTTTCTATGTCTTCTCTTTAGGCTTCTAGCAAAAAAAATTCAAACTGCTTACAGAATCCCACCACAATCCTAGAAACTGGTTCTAGGAAATTCAACAAACCATCATGAAATTCAACTTTTCCATAAAACAACCAAAAACCCTAAATCCAATCATCATGAAATTGCTCTAGTTGCTATGTACCTCACCAAAAAATTAAAAATTCATAGAAAAATTCAAAGAAAAACCTAAAAAATTTCCAAAAAATCTCAGATTTCCAAACAAAATTAAAAAAAAAAATTAGAGGTCTAAAAATTAAACCGAATTCCAAAATATCAAACCAAAAATCAAAAATCAATTCACGATTTAGAAATTTAAACTCCTAAATCCCAGAAATAAAAAATCTCCAGCAATTTCAACCAATTTAACCTAAAACCCAGAAATCAAGAATCAAACCCTAAGTTATTAAAAATCCCTAAAACCAATTTCAAGAACACTAAGAACCTAGAACCAAAAACCCAAAAGATTTTCACACTTTGATTTCTTTAATCTACTTATGCTTATTACTTTTCTGTACATGCTTGATTGTTCCTTTTTTATTGCTTGTTGCCCGTGCTTTGTTCACAGATTGGGGGTGCTTTTATTGTGATTAAATCCTAATTTTACTTGAAAAACCCAAGATTTCACTGAATCTAACTAGATTTTCAAGATTGAAATGTTCCATGATCTTTCCTTTATTTTAATGACTTAAGGACCAAGGATTTCCATAATTGAATCTCAAACTATAGAGATGAATCCATGATTGAATCCAAGGTTGAAGGGTCCAAAGTTTTATGCCAATTTCAAAAACCCTTATTTTTTGTTTCATTTTATTTTTTACTTTTTTGTTACTCTTGACTTTGACCCAAACTTAAACAAAAACTAAAATAAAATTAATATCAAAACCAAAATCAAAATTAAAATTAAAATCAAATTAAAATTAAGAATAAGATTAAGATATTTGAGTTTTTAACCTTTGGCCTAAAACATTTTATTAAAATCTAGTTCGCAATCAAGACCCATTTCAATCTTGTCAATTTTCTTGTCAAATTTTTCTTAAAAAAATGGGGTGTATACAGTAAATGCATAACAAATAATCAAAAGCAATTCATAAATGCTCAAACCAACCCAAATTCATCAATGAAGCAAAAAAGCAAACAAAAAGAAAAAAAAATGCACATACCTAGCAAACCAACTGAACAATAAATTGGACAACAGTGAAAGATTGAAGAAATGCAACACCAAAGAAACCCATCTGCAAAAATAACAATGAAAATGAAAACATTCAATACAAAAAAGAAAAAACTAAACTAAAAATGAAGAGAACTAGGTAACAAAGTATCCGTTAGCTTACGGGATAAGACATCAGCTACAGTTCAAAGAATGGGAAAAAAATGTAAATTGTCAGAAAAATTGACTTCAAAGCAACCATAGAAAAGCTAAAAAACATGGAAACCATATCAATCCTTACATCTTTTTAAATCATAAAATACATAAAGGACAATAAAACTTGACGACCACACATATTAAATCCACTGAATCACCCAGCAACCCAAAAAACAAAAAACAAAAAGGGTGAAAAACAATAGAATCGTGAGAAACAAATGCTACAAAGATTAATGACAATAGAGTTATGAGAAAATGAAAAATCAATAATAACCCAAAAAACAAAAGAGAAGAGAGAAGTTACAAAGAGCAAAAAAATTAGGAAAAAGCAATAAATCAAAAAAGACATTCGCAAAAAAAAAATCCAATAAAAACTGAGATTTTGATGGAAAAATAACATAATGAGAAACAAATTCTCAAAGGAGAAAAATGAAACAATCATCATATATATATATAAAACAAAATAATAAAAAAAAGAACAAACGAGCATCAAGAGAGAAGAGCAGGAAACAAAACAATGAAAAACTAACGAATGAGAAAAGAAAGCAAAAAACTAAAGAAAAAAAAGCATAGCAAAAGTTTTAACACGTGTTTTTCTTTTTTTTTTTTTTATATATCAAGCACTACATTTTCTTATATAAGAAACGTGATATTTATGGCTCAAAGGCTACATTTACTACATAGAAAATATAGTCGAAACATTTTTTTAAACCTAACTTTCTTATTCATCATCAACCACATTTTAAAAAAAAAAAATGTTTATCAACCATGCTTTTAAGTTAATAAATATATTCTTTGCTTATAAAAAAAAAACATTTTTAAGCTTTACAAATATTTTTCTTTAAAATACTTCAATTACTACATTTCTCGCTTAATAAATGCCATTGATATATATAAAAAAAAAAAGTCATTCAAATATGTCTTCAACATAGAAAACATAGTCTAAACAATTTTAAAATTATGTATCAATATTATTTGTTAATAGTTTAATTGATCCACTACGTTTTAAATAAAAAAAATGCATTGCTTATTAAATTTTAAAAAAAATTCAAAACCATAAAACTGCAATCATCTATTATATTTGTTCTTTTAATAGCTATCCCAAATTAGTATTTAATTTTAAAATTTAACTTTTTTGTTCATTATCAACCACATTTTAAAATAAAAAAAAAGTGATCTTCAATAAATTATCAACCACATTTTCAAATAAAAAATGTGATCTTTGTCATCAAAAACTACATTTTTAAATATCATAAATAATTTTTTAAAAATTAAACCAATTGCTATATTTCTAAAAATTACATCAATTACTATGTTTCTCACATTATAAATGTTATTGATAAAAAAATATTTTATTATTTTTTATTATTTTAATTGGTTAACTACGTTTCAAATATAAAAAATGCAATGCTTGCTAAAATTAAAAAGAAAAAAATTCAAAACCATAAAATTACAATCATCTACAATGTTTGTTCTTTTAACATCTACCCCAAGTCAATATTTTGCTAAAATTAAAAAATATATATAAAATATAAAACTGCAATCATCTACTACATTTGTTTTTTTAACAGCTACCCCAAATCAATATTTGAAAAGCTACAACAAGAAGTACCTAAACCTTCCACCCACCCATCTTTCATTCTTTTTTTGGTTAAATCAAAAGAACAGGTACCTCTCTTTTTTTTTTTCTCATATATTTCTGCAAAGCAAAAAAAAAAAAAGTAAAAAAAAAGGAAAACCAGAAAACAATCACATGGCACTCCCAATGACAAGTTCTGTACATCGTACATTTGCAAACAAATAACTTTAATTCGTTTATTTTTTTATAAAATCTTATGCTAAGAAAATATTTTTAATGATATCAAAAATTAAATTGGGAGCCACACTACGTGTGATAAGTAGCAAGTGGTTTATTCACTGATCACAAGTTGATGAAAACATGACCTTAAATAATATAATTAAGACTAATAAAATTTGATTTAATTTAAATATTTTGTGCAAATCAAATCTCATTTTAACTTTAAAGTTTAACAAATTAATCTGAAATGATCAGAATCTAAAATATATTGAATCCAAAAATAATTTAAACTTGAAAACAATATGGAATAATCCAATTCAAACTCTTTCAATTCATTTGACATGTTTAACATCACATATGTAAAAAGTTAGCCATTCTTAGCATTATAAATGATAGATATTGTGAGTAAATTTAGTAATTCGTATATTTATATTTATTTATTTTGTGTTAAATACATATAAAATATAAAAATTATCATGTCAAAATTCGAGTCAATATATTAAATATGAAACATATTTTTGTTTTCACTAAATTCATACATAATTATTTGTTAAGTTTTTAAATTACCATTTTTGTGTTTTTTTCTGTATCATTTTCATAATTGACAAAATTTAGTTGCAAGCACTTCTTTACAGTGTTATTCAGCATTTATTTTTTACCAGTAATGTCAAAATTAGATCATGAGAGAACGCTTGTTTTAAACAAGCATGATTTATCTATTTTTGGTGGACAGAATGGCATTTTCCAGTAAGTTTGTAATTGATTCATATCACAGCGTATTATTAAACCTAAAATATTTGCTGAAATTACAGAAGAACCATAGTGACATTATTATTATGAATAAAACCAACAATTAGTGTGCGTAATTTGAAGCTATAAGTTCGAGAATAGGCAAATTGGCGGTGATAAAAAACCTCACTTGTTTTTCAAAATTAAACAGGCAAGAGAACTAGAAAAACAAGCACACACACAACACAAAAAATGAAAAAAAGCAATTGTGCACAAGTGCATATTGACTCAACTGAATGCTCGTGTGAACAGTAATTTCAATTCACATCCGCTAGCTGTAGCAGCAGAATATGATGCCATTAATGGTGTGCTAACCGAAATGAAAACTTCATTATATCAAAATCAAATGAGAGGTAAATAACCCAAAATATACACATCCAAGAAGCCAATAAGGTACTCCAAAGGGCTTCACAAAAACGAGTTTATCAAGGCAGTCATGAGTACATTTGAGAATGTATACATCATTTCCTCACACAATGGCTGTAGAAAAGCATGATAGACAATGGTTGCTCCTAGATATTTTTCAGAATATTTGCATCTCACTGTACAATTCTGAACAACAAACTTCGCCAAAAGAAGGAAATTGAAAGTGCGCACAGCTTTGAGATTAATCCAGAAAACTAGAGTGTAGAACGGACAGGCAAAGTTACTTCAGCATTATAGCTGAAACAAAAACCTGAAGCATGGCAGAGGCGTAAGCAATTGGAAAGGATAAGCCTTAGGTGAGTACCAAATATACCAAACAAGGACCACTTGTGAAGCTTAATACCAAAACAAAAATCAAAAGCTTCAACCTAGTAATAATTATTTTTTATCAAAGGATGATAACGTTAGAAAACAACAGTTTATACAAAAATATAAAGCAACTAATTTGGTTGGCACCAACTCATTCAGTAAAATTACTAAAAAAATAGTAATACTAGTAAAACCATAAAAAAATAGAGATAAATTAATTATTTCTCTTCCCTGCTAATAAAGATACGAGTTCTGGTTGTACATTTAACTTAATTTATCATTTGAACGTTCAAATGCATCTCAACTTACATTCCTCTTGATTACCTTTATCACTCACCCTTTCTCATCCATTTCTTCAACCCAACTACATAAGTGCATTTACACTAGTAAGTAATAAAGGTATTAATATTGCCATAAAGAAAACCAAGAATAAAAATTGTATTTGAATGGAAGTTAGTTGAATTTTGCTGATGCACAAGGATAAAGTATGAGACATAGATCTAGACGGGGAGGAGAGAGGGTCATCCCTTCTCTCATCTCTCACTTCCAAAACCAATGTAGTAGGTTGATCCTTTTAGTCCAAACCTCAATTAAATAATATAAACTATAATGATATGTCCAAAATACATCCCTTATTAATGAAACAATATACTACCACAATCAAATTTCAAAGCTGGCAAAATCTTGATTCCACAACCACTTGAAACTCAATACAAAACAAATAAAATTCACTTGAAAATTAGCAGCCTGAATCCATTGCTAACTGTTAGTAGAATAAATGTGGCAAAAGTCCACTTGAATCCAAGCAGCCAATTTAAATTGCTCAAATTGACTCAGAAAATTTGATATCCTAAATCTGAAATAAGTTGAACTTGTAATGCCCTAATACCTGAATCAGCCAAAGAGTCAAAACCCAAAATGATCCAACCTAAATACATTCCAATCAAACTGCCACCTCTACTCAGCATTGTTGGTTTTAACATTCTTAAATAAAATTTTGCATCAACCTCGTGAAATCTCATTGATCGGGAAACAAATCAAAGTAAGCCTTCCCAATTCAACCACCACAATGGCCACATTGGAATTTCTTAAATTTACATTATCCTTTCATAAAATCATAATCTTAAACAGCATTTGTCATACTGGTTTGGAATCTGCTCACTTTTAACATGCATTCCTACCATAAATCATAGATAAATATACAGTCCCCAACAACTCATATATAATGAAAACTTATTGTCCATTAGTACTCTTTCTTTACTCCATCAGACATGAGAAGTTTATTTGCTTGAACTTGGTTTATTCTCTAAAATCAGCAAGCCAATCTTTGTAATCATTGGTACATGCAATCCAAGTTGATGCAAATAAAGACAATGATTTTCCATGGCAAAGAATAAGAAATATGCACTGACCCAATAATCAATTATGACCACAATAGTTACATACTAAAAGTTGGAGGCTCTAGCAATAGTTTATCCAGAGTCCTTTTGCATGTCTGCATTAATTGCAGATTCACTATCCCAGTTCAGGTAGCAGTCATAATCCAGAAGTCAACAAAATCCACACCAGCAAACTGCACACTTAGTTTAAGCTCTAAAAGCCTCCTAAACAGAACTGATATTAGTTATATGATTCGCTCATCATGGCATTGAGGGCTACTTTACTGGTTTTTTTTTTATTTTTTATTTTTTATAGAAAACCAAAACCATCCATACGCTATTAATGTTCCCCACACCACTTTGTTCATCACGGTACACAGTATACCAAATTCAGAAATTCTTTTTTTTTTTTTCTAATTTTTCTACTTGTGTCAAAGTGAGAAACCAAACATAGGCTTGGAACAAATATTTCAAAATTAAATGCTTTTGCATAATAAAGCAGCAACACACCTCAATCAACTCTTCTTCACATGCACCTCAATAATGTCATCATCCTCCATTCCAAGACTTGCAGGGGTTGCAGCCAGACTAATTTTATCACCATCAAAAGAAAATACTAAGCTTTGCAGGTCAAGCTTAGCTTTATCTGCATACATGCTGAAGAGCCTCTCAAACTTGTCATCCTATTAAAATGGAAAAACTCTTCAACTCACGTTGTTGTAAAACAAACAAGTCACATATATCATCTAAGAGATACTTGATATTCAAAATGAAAAATAATAACAATTATTACATGAAAAGGCCAATATATAACACAAAACCTAACCATTCAATGATAAATGAAAATCCACCAAAACAGGTCTCATAAAATGTAGTTACCCTAAGGGCTAGTTCAAGCTAGCACAATATCAACATTAGATGTTGAAGATGTGAATGGATTAAACATGTTGGTTCAGGGGTTATACCACTTAATCATATTTACATTTTCGTATTCCATGAAACATTATCCTGATTACAGAAGTGGTACAGTGACAGCGGCTGTCGACCTGAAGAACAGAGTATTTGTGCACTCAGTAAGTGGGACAAATTCTTGCAAGTTTTCTTTATTCTATATCATGAAAGGAAGGAAGATTCATTGGAAAGATTTCCCCCAATCAAGAAAAGAAAAGTTCACAGAAGAACCTTTGAAAATAAGGAAAATATAGACACAAACCATGCACGAATGCCAAGATACCAACTTAAGTTGCTTTTCTAGCTACATTTTCATAGATGCAACAGAATTAACTTTTAGAAGTTAATAATCCCGTCCAAGAATTATTTATTTTGTAAATCTAGAACTGCATATATCTTATTTTCTCCAAGCATAAATAAGAGAAGAAACTAGAGCACATGTCATTTCAAGGTGAAATTTAAACTGGGAATGTTGAGTCTTCCCCATGTGAATGCATAATGCATTTCAATAAGATTTGTAGTTGTCCCAGTCCCCTATAATTCTTTCACCATGTCTTGACAATTATAAATTCCAGCTATAGCAGTTTCTTTGAACTTACTAAGTGCAACTATTCTAGCCTTCTTTACAAACAATTACATAAATCACAGAATTGAATACAACTTGAAAACTCCATGGCTTGTAGCTAGGGATTTTATATAAATTTTAACACTATGATATAAAAGGATCTTGCCCTATAGTTATTTCTATTCTCTATCTGGCAAATGCAAAGCAGAGAGCTAAACTTTTATTCTCTTATTCCCTAGCCAGGACTGCAATGCAATACTGACATACAAGGTCAAAGTGCAGCACAAAACTATACCATGTATACACGAAATTGCTTGAGTTCATCCTTGTTCTGGATTGAAATAACTATTTTCACCCTTTCAGAGGCAGGATTATTTGGTTGCTCAGCTACAACATCTAAAGAAGGTTTCAACAAACCACTCAATTCTCTTTTTGCAGATTCCTGCACTTCTAGCAACATGTTTTTTGCAGATTGCGCAAATGAAACCAATTCCTGCTTCCTTAGCCTGCATACATCATTTGATATTATAAAAGGAAAAACAACCTCCACAGAATAAGACATTTAAAGAGAAAAAAACTTAAATTAAAGCATTATACCAGAAAATAGCCACCATACTGTATGGTGCACATCCCTTAATATCCCAACATTCTTTGAACTTTAATTTCTTTTATAGCTCTTAAATCTTGTGACTGGAAACTAACATGTATAGCTAATATGGTTAACAAGCACCGGCAACAATTCTCATGCACAAAATAACAGTTGATGAATGATAGATTACCAGTTAAGTAGTCAGACAATTTAAACACAACCAGAATATTAAAAACAGGTATAAGATAGTTTTCTCTCATATAATTAAGAGCAATTGTCTATATCAATATTGCAAATGACAGCCAAATAAGAAGTAGGTTCAGTTTCCAAAAAATCATAATTCTCTAGAAATGTTTATTACAAGAATGATATTCCCATACTGAAATGATTTAATTATTTTATCTCAGAAATGAGAGGGAAGAAGAAAGGTGAAACCAACAGAAAAAGAAATGCAAGTGCGAGAAAATAAGAATTGATATTTGATAATCCCGCACTCTAATAACAAAACACCATGATTTGTTGAAAAAAATAAAAATTTTAACCGCATATACACAAAATAGAAATTTCTAGAAAAAAAATAAAAAAGCTCCATACTTCCAAGAGAACCACAAATTCATAACCGGAAAAACCACATATTTTCTTGGCAAAAAAAAAAAAAAACCACAAATTCATAACTGGAAAATGCAAGTACAATACCTCAACTCCTTTATGGTTGAATCCTCACCAATCTTACTATAAGCATCAGTTGAAACCATAGGAGGAGGAGCCAACCAATCCTCCTCTTCTACATTCACCACTTTGATCACTTCAACATCCTCATCCTCATTTACTTTCACAACCTAATCCATCGCCAATTTTCATAAAAATTAAAAATATATATATATTCATATTATGCAAATTTACTTTCATATATCAATATAAATGAAAAGATACAAAAAAACTTACATCAGGACCAGTAATTTTCCTCCTTTTTTGCGACGGAACTGGTGAAGTATCTGAATCGTCATCTACAATGTAACTCAAACGATTAATACAACAATTTGTGTAGTACAATGACGATTGAGCTAAAATTCAAAAAAATATATATGCGAATTGCATGATATTGTTGAAATTCGTGAAAAAAATAATTAAAAAATAAAAAAAAAAGAAATTGGAGGTTTTTTCTGGTACCGTCGATGCAAACGAAATTTAGGGGCTGAACGCGGCGGTAATCAAACAAGGGCTCAAGATCATCCGTAGTTGAATCTGCCTGCAAAAACAAATGAATGTTCCCTTGAAAAAAAAATGGTGGAAAAATGAAACCCTTTGAAAACTTATAAATTGGAAGTGAGCTTCACCATTATCGATATCCGAATATCCCTCACTATCGTCCGGTCCAAAGCACGGAATTTCCAAATCCCTAATATCAGAAAGGGGAATTTATAAACCGTGTTTTGAATGCAGTTGGGCCGACTGGCTAACATAAAGTGGTCCGTTTTTCACGCTTGTAGGCCCATTAGGGGCTCTCGGAGGCATTCGATTATTTAAAATTTTTTTAAACTAGAACTTGACCTTTGGCGATTGCCGTGCCATGACTTTTACAATAAGTTTAAATTTTCTTTTTTATCTTACCATAAAGTTATTAAATAATGTCCATCGGATTTACAATAATTAATATAAACTATCGATGTTATTTTTATTCTATATATAACCAAATAGTCGTTAACATATTAATTTAGTTTTAATTAATTGACATTAAATATCAAATATTGAATAAGAATAAAAAGAGTTGTTTTGGGGTTTAACTATAAAAATTATTTATTTTAATAGATAAGTCCAATATTCTAAAAATATATTAGAATCTAAAAAAAAAAGAAAAATGATAATTTAAAATAAAAAAATCACAAATTAATAACATATATAAGAGAATGGAATTGTGAAAATTATAACATTTGATATAAAATGGATTGGAAATGTCTAAATACATTAAAAAATAGTTGTAATAATTTTAAACGTAATAAAATATATCACCAAATATAAAAATATATTATTATAAAATAAATAATTAAGTTGGTTACATAAAAGAATTGAAATTTAAAAAGTAATCAAAAAAATTATTAATATAAATAGGTGAGAAACTGTAAAATTTATATCATTTAGAGTAATATTGGTTAGAAGTATCATAACGCTAAAAAAGGTTGTGAAATTTCTAAATTTAACGAAAAGTAAGAACAAACATAAAAAAATATTATTGTAAAATATATAATTAAGTTGATAATATAAAAGAATTGATATTTTCAAATAAAAAAATTATTGTTGTAAACAAATAAGAGGAATCAATTGATCTCAATTGAAGTTTTGATCTAAGAGCTTACATTCATTTGCACGGGATATTTTCTCACCATTTAGAAGGCTAGGAGATAGGTTTTGGGAGGAGCAAAAATATTCAAATAACCAATTCATTTTGTTGAATAAGCTTATCATCATATTTATTAAGTGTTTTATGGAAAGATTTAATTTTAAAATTTCAATTTTTATTTGAGAATAAATGTCAATTATTGATATTGAAGTTTTAATCTAAATTTTCCACCATTACGAAGAAATTAAAATAAGAACTTTCCACCTAAAATTTTTTTAGGAAATTAACCATTCTTGATTTCTAAGAATTTTATTAGTGAATAATTTTCATTCATTTTCAAAATTCTCAAAGAAATTTATTATTATTTTGTAATAGTTGAAAACAAATGTCAATTGTCATTATTGAAATTTTAACTAAAACTTTTATCATTTTAGAAATAGTTAAAGAAAATTTATCATCTAAAAATTTTTAAAAAATCAACCATTATTGTTTTTTAGAATTTATTGGATAATTTCCATTCATTTTAAAAAATTTAAAGGTTTTATTTTTTATTTAATTTTTTTGTTATTCATGTGAAAATAAAGGAAAATTATTTTTATTTTTGAAAATTTTAACTAAACTTTCCACCATTATGGAGAATTTAGAAGAAAATTCCCCATCTAAAAATTGTAAAAAAAATTAATCATTTTTTATTTTTTAGAATTCCATCATTGGAATAATTATCATTTATTTCCAATTGTTAAGAGTTTTTTTAATTGATTTTATATTTATTATTCTTTTATTTGAAAATAAATGAATTTTTTTTTTAATTTTCAACTAAACTTTTCACGTGGAAAAAATAGAAGAAAACTCCTCACCTAAAAATTTCTAAAAAATAATCATTCTTATTTTTTAGAATATCATCATTAGAATTATTAGCCTTGAACTGATAATTATTTTGAAATAACAAAACAATATTGTTAAAACTTAGAACAAATTGATTTGAACTCAAAAATAAAATTTTGCCAATAATTTCTCAAATGAAAAATGATTTAAGACAAAAAAACAATATTCTTTCCTTATTAAAAACATGTTTTATACAAATTTGAGAAATAAGGATAGATCTCATTATGGATAGGGTCAATCCCCTTTTACAGAAAACAAAAAGCTTTGATTAAAACCTAAAATGGATTAATCCTCTTTGAAAATGGATTGATCTATTTTTTATATATGTAAATACCTAATTTTATCCAGAACATTTTATCATATTAACCCAGGCTCAATTTTGTAATTGGGCCTAACTATAACTTTTCAGGTCCATTATATGGTCCATTTTCAAATGCTTAAGAATGAGGATCAATATGGGCCCCAAAGGGAGGCCTGTTGCATTAGCTTGAATGAATGCCTAATTGGATCAATAAGGGCTCAATAAAGGCCCATTCCTCAAAGCCTGTTAATGGCCTATTGTTGGCTATTAAACAAAAAATAGAAAATAATAATAATAAAATAAATAAAAAATATAAAAAAAATTGCCCAAACCCAAACACTACCCAAAACCTAAAATTTTACCCAAACCAACAACCATACCATCCACCCCATGAAAAGAAGTCAAGCCTTTAGAAGTTGCTAACCTGGCTTATGCAAACCCAAAATTCAACCATTCAAAGCCAAGCTACATCCATTAGGAACTTGGAAACCCAAGTAGGCCAATTGGTGAATGCCATAGCCAATTGCCCCTTAAGAACCTTGTTTAGTAACATTAAATCAAACCCCAATAAATAAGGCAAAGAGGTGTGCAATATTGTATATTCCTATGAGGGAGAAGGGACTTATTTTACTAAAGATGAGGACGATTTTATGGATAAGCCTATTGATAACGCTAAAATATCTAGTGTTTTACAAGTCTTTTTTTGTGCAAAAATTTTGAAATTTAATTGAATATGGCCCCTTTAATGTTTTTTTTTTCTTGATCATTAGATATAATGCACATGGAATGTGAAAGTCATACAATTCATGCAAGATGGTGCAATATTTGGCCAAAAGCATGAACCATGCAATATTCGACCATATATTGAGTTTATAGTTAGACCACTTAGCCAAAAAAAAAACATGATGAATTGGGCTAACGAAGAGTTGTAATGGTAAAAGAACCTTTTGTTTATCTTAAAAGAGTTTTGCTCCAAGAAGAACACTACAAAAGAGGATAAAGATAAAGTTATGATACAACAAGGATTCTACATCTATTCGGTTAAGAAAAAATCTTATGGAGCAAGGCTTATTTGATTATCTTAAAAGAGTTTTTAAGTAAGATAAATACTTTTACAAGAGATAAAGATAAGAGTTCTACTCAAGAAAGATTCTTGAAAATTTATCTCAAAAGTTTTAATCTAATATAACTACTTTAAGGAGATAAGCTATAAAGGACCAACAATAGAATTCCATTTGGCCATACAAAAACTCCCATGTTCAGTAACTTCTTTAAAGGTTAAGATAGAATTATCTCTTATAGTTTAGATAAGAAAAGGACTTTGTAATCCCAATCCCCTTCTTGACCTGATCTACCTTTATAAATAGGCTAAGGCTCCTTATTTAAAATACATCCATCATCCCTCACTTCTCTTTTTCTTTCTATAGTTCTTTAGTTTTTTGTAAGGTTTTGACTTAGGTGACAGATTTACCAATTACTAAGATTTTTGTTCTTTAAATATTTTTCAATCGAGAAGTATTTTCATTTAAAGAATTTTTTTCTTATTTTCTTGTTTGGAAAATCTTGTTCTTGTTTGCTTAACTATTCGACATAGATAATCTTTAATTTTCAAGATCCAAGTTCTTTTACCTACTTTGCAAGGGTCGGCCATCACTCTTTTCTTTCATGATTCTTTAAGTTGTTTTCATGCAATCTTATTTTTTTTACAAGCATTCGGCTACTACTCTATTTTTATTTACTTTACAATTTTTTTTAGTTTAGGCTTTAGGTTAGTTATTGGCATTAATCTTTGCTTCCCAAATAACAGTTGGTGAAGTTTAGAACCCTATCATACATTACCTTTAATCTTTATTTGATTGTGTCTATTTAAACCTTGTAACCTTAAAATCCTTAAATATTCATTTGTTTAGATATAGGATCTTAGCCTTTCACCTTTGGTACTTGTGAACTACCTAACACTACATTCTATAATCATTGAAGAGATGATACTTGGAATACTTCACTTTATTACTTAATCTGTGTACTTGTAAGCTCTATACAAAAGCAGCAATCAAGTTTTTGGTACTATTATCAGAGATTATAGCGATGTTTTCAATATTAATAAAGATTTTTTAAACTTTTATAATCTAAACATTTATATATATATATATTTGCTATAATGTGTTTTTTCTATCTTTTGTATTACGACGACTTCTATTGCAATGAGGCTAGCACTTTAGGGATTATAACAAGCCGACTTTTAAGTATTCCCATGTCTAACCACCATTATGAACTTCTTAACCATGGAACACTTTTGAACGGTATGATGAAGATTCATTTACAACCATATCCTCACAATTTGCATCATTAGCTAAAAAGGTAAATATTGTTGAAAGAAGGTGTACTATTAATCATATTTATTCAGTTTAAAGCTATCATGTCTATAATGGGGAATATTATAGTGATAGGTGTTAAGATAATCAATCTTATTTTTATCTAAATACCTATACTCAAGATTTTGAGGATCATCTGAATTACCAATGGGGAAGTAGTCAAGAGCCATGATCTATGTATACCCTAACCTACCTTATGAACCCTTTTATCTCAACAATACTCTCATTCACTATATAATCCACCTTACCAATATCATCCATCACCACAATATTTTTTTTCATATTACCCACCATATTTTCTTCAAGAAACAAACTCTTCCCTTAATGAATCCTTCGTAAAATTCATCCAGAATTAATCCAGCCTCCTTAAAACCTAAATTACCAATTTGAAAGCCTTAACAAACATGTAGATCCAAGTTGGTTGAAAGTAGTGGAGTGCATATTAAAAGATTATCAAAAGAAAAGAAAAAAAGTTTATGTTGCTAATTATGATGATAAAGACCTGATGGATGAGCCGATGGTGGTGAACCTACCTAGCTTTATGAAATACATAAGGAGGATCCTAATGAGTATATTTAAGAATAAGACTTTAAAGAG